TGGAGTGCAATGGCGCGATCTCGGCTCACTGCAACCTCCGCCTCCTGGGTTCAGGCAATTCTCCTGCCTCAGCCTCCTGAGTAGCTGGGATTACAGGCACGTGCCACCATGTCCAGCTAATTTTTTGTATTTTTAGTAGAGACGGGGTTTTACCATGTTGACCAGGATGGTCTCGATCTCTTGACCTCATGATCCACCTGCCTCCCAAAGTGCTGGGATTACAGGCGTAAGCCACTGCACCTGGCCCTTTGCTGGGTTTTATATCGTAGCTGACAGTTTAGCTTAGTAATATGCTATAAATGTCTGACAACTGATAGCACAAATTGTAATGCCTTGCTTATAGGAGGATCTCTGAATATTAAATAGATCTTTGCATCACCAAAGCGGTTTAGTGGAACAAAATTTTCTAGAAAGATACACTATTCGATTTTGTTCTCAAATATATATATTTAACCCAGTGAGAAGTTAGGTAAAAGAATTTGGCTAGCCCTGCCGTCAACATTTTATAATTCTAATTGTGAAAGCAGCATTTAGAGTCATGCTCAAAGCACTTAGATGCTTCTTACTGCAGGTAAAAAAAAATTACTGTCTTCCTCAGCTTTTTAAAACTCACAAAGGTCAAGATCCAAAGTTGGTGTTTGACTTTAAATAACATGAGGTTCTAACACCTACATGGTACATTAATGTGTAATATTAATTGTGTGATCTTTAGGCATTCCTTTAGTACGTTGACATAGAAAGAAAGAATATTGATACAGTAAAGCATTAAAAAAAAAAAAAAGAATCCTAATGATTGAAGATTTGGGGAAAAATAAGACTTCTAGAAATAATATAGGTTATCCTCTTTATGTCATAGTTGACCAAATTTTAGGGTTTCTGTCAGAAAGTTCTGTCCCTTCTGGGAAAGCATGATCATTCCTGTGTATTATCATCAGCTATACAGGAAACAAAGACTAAAGTAATCTGTTGTTTTGGAAACGTAGTTATTTAGTGAGGAAGTATTCTGGGCAGGAAGAATCAGACCCCATTTATAGTGAGTATTTGTTCAATATCTGTGTCTTTAAAAAAATAATAATTCAAGTAGAATTTGAGTTTCCAAAACTGTTTAAAATCAAATATCACTTTGATTTGCTTTCCCAGAGATTAGTAGTGCATACATTACTATTTTTGTGTTTTCAAACTTTACGGTACATCAGAATCACTTGAAGAGCTTTACAAAGAAGATTACCAGACTCATGAATCTGTAAGAATGAACCTGGTCCTTTTCCAGGTGGAAGTGCAATAGCATGAATCACAGCTCACCGCAGCCTCCACCTCCTGGGCTCAAGTGATCCTCTCAGTATCTCGAGTAAATAGGACTACAAATGCATGCCACCATGCCTGGCAATTTTTTTTTTTAAGAGATGGGATTTTGACACGTTGGCTCAGGCTAGTCTTAAAACTCCTGGGCTCAGGCAGTCTGCCCGCCTCTGCCTCCCAAAGTACTGAGATTACAGGCGTGAGCTACCCAACCTCGCCTTTTTTTTTTTTTTTCAGACAGTGTCTCTCTTTGTTGTCCGAGCTTGAATGCAGCAGTGGTGTATTCACTGCAGCCTTTACCTCCCAGGTTCAAGCAATCTTCCCACCTTAGCCTCCTGAGTAGCTATGCAACCACACTGAACTAATTTTTTATTTTTATAGAGGTGAAGTCTCACTCTAGTGAATTTTCTTATTTTACTTTTTAGAGACAAGGTCTCAGTCTATCACCCAGGCCCAAGTGCTGCGGCATGGCCTGGCCCACTGCAGCCTCAAACTCCCAGGATGCTGGGATTACATGCAATCCTCGTGACAGAGCCTTCTGAGAAGCTAGGACTACAAGGCACTTGCCGCTGCTCCTGGCTAATTTTTTTTTTTTTAAGAGATGTGGTCTTGCTGTGTTGCCCAGGCTAGTTGGAGTCCCTTTTAAAGGCAAATAAACATAACCCCTTTTTATCTGTTAAGACTCGTAAGGAATAGAGAAATTAGCATAGAAGACCAAAAAACCAGGGCTTCTAATTCTTAATTCACGAACTTCTTGAAAGTAAATGGAATTTCCATTCCTACTACAATGTTTCCAGAGAAACACTTACTAAATTTTTACAGAGGTCAAAAATAGCCTAATAGGCAAATTACTGTCTCTAACTTAAATTAGATATGGCAGAGCCATTGGCTGTTGTCAGTACCTCAAATAGACAACTGCAATTTCCCTCTTAATTCAGTGTAGCTCATATGTATTTTCTAAATCTGGAACTGACTAGGGCCAGAATCTGAGTCCACTTTTTATTGAGAATATATAAGTCCATGTAGTAGTATAGCAATTTTGCTTTAAAATTTCTCTAATTTGTCTGAGATAATAGAAAGTCCTGTGCCCCTCCCCCCCTTTTCCTTGCTAGGTCTAGGATGAGGCTTTTGGATAGGAACCTTTAAAATAACCCAAGTTCAGTGTGCTCTACTTTTGATTATCCTGTCTTCTCTAAGGAAAGTACATACATACTCTCCTTAGCGAAATCTATATTCTTTAATGTAGCTTTTCTTAAGAGTGCATTGGCACAGTCATTCAGTTTATCTGTTGGCTCCCATGTTAATTCTCAATAGACAGAAATAATATGCTTTTTGAAAAAATTACCACATACAGAGGATAAGTGTCATCTACAACACACCATGACTCTGTGTGTTGCACAAACTACTTGCAATTGCAGCTATTAAGTAGAATCTCTAAAAGGTGAAATTATATGATTATGTGATTGAGTTACTTTACTAGTTTGCTGGACCGTACTTCTTTCTTATTTGTTGAGTGTTGAATTTCATAGGCATTTACTGTATTATAGCTAATCCATCTTTTTTGGGTATTGTAAGATGATTGAACAGACTTAACTCCCAGACTATGTAAAACCTGATCCAGGGCCTTCAGGGGTGAGGGGTCACATTTGTGGTGCAGCTTTTGTTGTAGTGAAAGTGATCCTTTGTAACAAGGAAAACACTGGCCGGGCACGGTGGCTCAAGCCTGTAATCCCAGCACTTTGGGAGGCCGAGGCGGGTGGATCACGAGGTCAAGAGATCGAGACCATCCTGGTCAACATGGTGAAACCCCGTCTCTACTAAAAATACAAAAAATTAGCTGGGCATGGTGGCGCGTGCCTGTAATCCCAGCTACTCAGGAGGCTGAGGCAGGAGAATTGCCTAAACCCAGGAGGCGGAGGTTGCAGTGAGCCGAGATCGTGCCATTGCACTCCAGCCTGGGTAACAAGAGCGAAACTCCGTCTCAAAAATAAATAAATAAATAAATAAACAGGGAAAACACTAAGAGTATTTTTAGTTGCAGTAAATTGAGTGCTTAGCGATTGTAGTTATTCTAATTTGTTTACCTGGAAATGACCATTAAAGTATATGTTATATGCTGATACTAATTTTGAAATTATTGTTTTCAGAGCCTTGCAAAGGACCATCGCATGAAACTTATGCAACAACAACAGGAAGTGGCTGGACTTTCTAAACAATTGGAGCATGTCATGCATTTTTCTAAATGGGCAGTTTCCAGTGGCAGTAGTACAGCATTACTTTATAGCAAACGACTGGTAAGATAAAAGTATGCTATTTAATATACTGTAAAAATGCACAGTAAAACAGTGGAGCCATTGGAATGCTTAAAATTTATTCTGCTTGTGCATAAGTGCTTTTTACCTATTTCTAATATTTATCAAAATATTTTGGTTTAAAAAAGATATTTTTACCTGGCATAATTCAGTTTTAGTCTTATCATGAATTTCTTTTTTGTTCTTTCCAACTATTCACGTCTTCATAGCAACTGAACTTAATACCAAAAATAAGAATGATAGTGAACATTTTCTGATTACCTATGGTGTGCCAGGTACTAATTGTAAGCATTTCCCATATAATGTTTAAACTTTTATCTCATTCTTATGAGATACACCTATTTACCCCCATTCTACAAATGATGAAACTAAGGCATGTGATCATATAACATGCCTAAACATCACACAATAAGAGGAATAGCCAGGGTTTATATGATCTCAGGCATGACCTGAGCCTGTGTTCTTCTTGTTGGCGCTACATGGCAGTCTGTGTTGCTGGATATTTTTGCAGCAGAAAAATAGCTCTGTGATTTGGTGAACCATTTGACATTGGTCTAGAATCTTGCTACTTAACGTGTGACTACCACATCCACATCACTTGAGGATTCTGATCAGAAGAGCTGTGGTGGGGCTTGTGAATTTCTAACAAGCTTGCAGGTGATGCTGATGCTACTTGGTTTGTGGGCTGTGCTTTGAGTAGCAAAGGTATAAAAGACATTTAGTTACATTCTTAAAAATTCTTGCTTTACATTCATTTTATTAAGGATTGAACAGAGATTTATACTCTGAAGTATAGTATAAATTGTAGGGTCAGTTCTAGACTATTGCAATAAAGCAAATATCAATAAGCCAAGCCATACACTTCTTTAAAAGTTTTCCAGTGCATATAAGAGTTTTGACTATAAATACTGTAATCTAATTGTGCAGTAGTATTGTTTTAAAAAACAATATATATACCTTAATTAAAGAATACTTTATTGCTAAAAATGTTAATCATCTGAGCCTACAAGAGTCATAATCTTTTTGCTCGTGGAGAAGTTGATGGCCACTGGGGTTGTGGTTGCTGAAGGTTGGGATAGTTGTGGCAATATCTTAAAATAAGATGACAATGAAGTTTGCATTGATTGATTCTTTTCTAATGAAAGATTTCTCCATAGCATGCAATGATAATTTGATAGCATTTTACCTACAATAGAACTTCTTTCAGAATTGGAGTCAGTCCTCTCAAAGCCTGTAGCTGCTGTATCACCTAAGTTTATGGAATATTCTAAATTATTTGTTGTCACCTCAACAATGATCACAGCATCTTCACCAGGAGTAATTTCTATCTCAAGAAACTACTTTTCTGTGCTCATCCATAAGAAGCAACTGTTCATCCATTCAAGTTTGATCATAAAATTGCAGCAATTCAGTCAAATCTTCAGGCTCTACTTCTAATTCCAGTTCTATTGTTGTTTCTACCACATCTGTAGTTCCTTCTCCACTGAAGTCTTGAATTACTCCAGGTCATCCCTAAAGGTTGGAATCAACTTATTCCTAACTCCTGTTAATGTTGATATTTTTATCTTCTCCCATGAATCACTAAGGTTCTTAAAGGCAACTAGAATAATGAATCCTTTCTAGAAGTTTTTTACTTTACTTTGCCCAGATCCGTCAGAGGAATCATGATGTATGGCGGCTATTAAAATAGCCTTATGTTTTCTGGGTTTTTTTCTTTTTCTTTTTTTTTCTTTTTTTGAGATGCAGTCTCACTCTGTTGCTTAGGCTGGAGTGCAGTGGCATGATCGCAGCTCACTGCAACGTCTAGCTCCCGGTTTCAACCAATTCTCCTGCTTCAGCCTCCCAATAGCTGCGACTACAGGCATGTGCCACTATGCCCAGCTAAATTTTCTATTTTTTGTAGAGACGGGTCACTATGTTTTCCAGACTGGTCTTGAACTGCTGACCGTAAGTGATCCACTTGCCTTAGCCTCCCAAAGTGCTGAGATTACAGCATGAGCCACTGCACCCAGCCACATAATGTATTTCTTAAATAAGACTTGAGGACATGCACCTATAATACCAACACTGAGAAGCTGAGTGTATATTATAAGATGCTTGAACAGACTTAACTCCCAGATTATGTAAAACCTGATCCAGGGCCTTCAGGTGTGGGAGGATCACTTGAGGCTTGGAGTTCAAGACCACCCTGGGCCACAGGGTAAGACCCTGTTGCTACCAAAAGAAAAAAATAAAGACATGAGAATCAGAATAACTTCTTGATTCATGGGCTGCAGAATAAATGTTGTGTTAGTGGGCATGAAAATTACCTTAATCTCCATATGTATTTCTATGAGAGCTCTTGGGTGACCAGTTATATTTGTCAGTGAGCAGTAATATTTTAAAATCCTTTATTTTCTGAGCACTGGGTCTCAAAAGTGGGCTTAAAGTATTTACCAAAATATACTGTAAGTAGGCGTGCTGTCATCCAGGCTTTGTTTTCACTTATAGAACACAAAAGCAGAGTAGATTTAGCATAATTCTTAAGGGCCGTAGGATATTTGGAATGGTCAATGAGCATTGACTTCAACTTCAGGTCACCAGGTGCATTAGTCCCTAGTAAGAGTCAGTCTGTCCTTTGCGGATTTGAAGCCATGCATTGTCTTCTCTGAAATTTCTAGATGGCATCATCTTCCAATAGAAGTCTGAGCAATCTACACTGAAAACGTGTTGTTTAGTGTGCCACCTTCGTCAATGATCTTAGCTAGATCTTATGATTAACTTACTGTAGCTTCTACATCAGCACTTGGTGCCTCACCTTGCACTTTTATATTGTGGAGACTGCAGAATGGATGGCTTCTTTCCATAAATCTCATGGACCAACCTCTGCCACCTTAAAACTTTCTTTTGCAGCTTCCTCACCTCTTGCAGCCTTTATTGAATTAAAGAGTTTTAGGACCTGTCTCTGAATTAGATCTTGGCTTAAGGGAATGTCATAACCGGTTTTATCCTCTGTCAAGACCGTGCAACTTTCTTCCTGTCAGCAATAAGGCTGCTTGGCATTCTCATCATTCATGTGTTCACTGGAGTAACACTTTGGATTTCCTTCAAGAATTTTTCCTTTACATTTGCAGCTTGGCTAACTGGTGCAAGAGGCCTAGCTTTTAGTCTGTCTCAGCTTGAAACATGCTTTCCTCAGTAAGCTTACTCATTTCTTAAGTTTTGATTAGTGAGAGTCATGCAACTCTTCCTTTCACTTGAACTAAGTAGCAACTATTGTAGGGTTATTAATTGGCCTAGTTTCAATATTGTTATGTCTGAGACTAAGGAGGCCTGAGGAGAGGAAGAAAGAATAGCTAAATTGGAGCAATCAGGATACACTATTTATCAATTATGTTTGCTCTTACATGGGCATGGTTTGTGGTGTCCCAATGTCCCAAAACAGTCAAAATATTACCATCAAAGACTACAGATCGCCATAACAGATTATTGTTAAGAATTACCAAAATGTGACAGAGAAACAAAGTGAGCATGTGCTGTTGGAAAAATGGTGCTGATTTTCTCAACGTGGTGTTTTCACAAACCTTAAATTTGTAAAATTCGTAGTATTTACGAAGCACAGTAAAGCAAAGCTCAGTAAAACAAGGTATGCTTGTATTGTTACCTCCAAATCAAGTTTTCTGTCACCTATTCAAAAAAATGGAAGTCCAGAAATTTTCTATACAATTTTAAAATAAGGAGATGTGATTCTGGATAAACATTGTAAAATAACTTCAAATATTGAATGACATCAGAGTTCTATAACTGTTCTTAATCATGAATTGCATTTAATTCTTAGGATTTGTTTTCCTTTCACAATTATCAGAGATACAGTCTCCATCCAGAGTCTTATTTTTTCATTAGTCTTAGTGGAAAACATCTGCATACTATATACCTTCTGTTCTCTGTTACCTACATTTTTCTGAAAGTCAAGTAGAAAAGGGATAGAGGGAATAGAGAATTGTATTTTTCAACCCATCATGAGTATTCTTATATGTGTATGTTATACAGATTATTCACACAATCAGATGAGCATTGTGTCAATCTCCTTATCAATTTAAAAATGTGTTTTTTTCATTCTGTTCTGATTTTGTTTGATTGTATTATGGAGAAAATAAAAATTGGAGATGGGATAAATTAATTTACACAATGATCTGTTGAAATAGGAATGAAAGAGATAGTCATCTATATGATACATAGGAGAAAATAGGAACAGTGAATCATATAGTACCAGTATTAACCATATTCTTGGTTAACTAAACTTTAAAAATCCCATGGAACCCAAGTGAGCATTGATGCATTTCTGTAGCAGCTGTAGATAATAAAGTAATTTGCCTGTAATGCATGCAGAGCTGAGGTTCGTGATTATTTTTAAACATTTAGAAGGATTTTCTAACTTCAGAAAAAGTGAAAATCATTATATTGTATAATTCTGTTCTCCAGAGTTCTGCTTTATAAATATAGCCTTGTTTACTCAGGTTATCCTTTAAATGATGGATTTTATATGCTTAAAAAAAATAAAATGAAATGCCTTGTAGGCCTGAAACCTCAAGCTTGGCTTGCTATTTTAAAAAATTTATTTATATTTTATATATAACACGATATCCATCACCCTACATAGTTACCTTGTATCTGTGTTTATGGTAAGAACACCTAAAATCTATAACAAATTTTTGATATATATTACAATATTATTAATATGGAAGTTTTTTTTGTTGTTGTTGTTCTTTTGTTTTGTTTTGTTTTTCAAGACAGGGTCTCTCTCTATCACACAGGATAGAGTGCACTGGCATGATTGTAGCTCACTGTAGCCTCAAACTCCTAGGCTCAAGTGAGCCTTTTGCCTCAGTCCCCCAGGTAGATGGAACTACACATGCATGCCACCATACCTAGATTTTTTTTTTTTTTTTTTTTTTTTAAAGACAAGGTCATTCTCTGTCACCCCACCTGATCTGGAACTCCAG